TTGCTAGTTTAATAAATATAAGTAACCATTTATAGATCTTAGTGTAGAGATATGGTAACTTGTATCTAGTTTGATCTATTTTGTTATTCTCGATTTTTAATTTATATTCTTACCTTATTAACCATGTATATATGTATGTGCATGTATATTAAACATAGTTTTGATTTTGATGTGTAATTATGCACACACGTAAACATCACAAATAACAATGGTTGTTACAAGAAAACTGTGTAGGATACTCTATATACACATTTTGATTTTTTATATTGGGTGTTTTATATATGTCTTCATGACAGTAGTAAATGGTTGTTCCAACAAAGCTGTATAGGATAGTGTATAAACATTTATGTCTTTGTAACAATAACCTATTGTTTTGGAGATTGAGGTTTCTTCAGTTGAAAATACATGCTTTCTAGAAGCCGTAAAACGTTTATTTTGGCTTTAAAAAGATTTTTTTATAAGTAATCATAAGTAAAGATGTTACAATTTCTTTTCTTTTTTTTTAGATTGAAATGATTGGCCACACGTTACTGTCCTTTGTTCATCCTGATGATGTAGGCTATGTCCGTCAACAGTTTCAAGATTTCTCAACTCGAATTATCATCAGAAATGGTTTGTAATGTGTGATTGTTTTAACTGAAATTGCTAATATATTGGTTGTGACAGCTCATTTTCTAGCGATCACCTAGAATAACTTTTCTTTCTTTCTTGCCCCCCAGTGACACAGCGGTATGTCTCTGGACTTACAACATTAAGATTCCAGGTTTCAATACCTGTGGTGGGGAAAGCACAGATAGCCCATTGTGTAGCTTTGTGCTTAATTACAAACAAACACACAAACTTTCTTTCTTTTTTTGCCAGTTAGTAGATGTTGCCCTAATACTGTGATTGATCTAATGGTTCTCAGTAACTTACAACAGACATAATTCCCAAAGGTAAAACATTGAGTATTAATGGTTGCTATAGTGATAAACAAAATTTATATTTCTTCTACTGGCCAACAAACATTACACTTTGAGATGGTTTGGTTGGTAGAAACTAGTCTATTTGTTAGCTGTTTTGTTGGCCAGTGGAAACTATGCTACTTGTTAGCTGTTTTGTTGGCCAGTAGAAACTGGGTTAATTGGTAGCTGTTTTGTTGACCAGTAGAAACTGGGTTAATTGTTAGTTGTTTTGTTGACCAGTAGAAACTAGGCTACTTGTTAGTTGTTTTGTTGGCCAGTAGAAACTAGGCTACTTGTTAGCTGTTTTGTTGGCCAGTAGAAGCTAGGCTACCTGTTAGCTGATTTTGGTGTTCAGTAGAAACTAGTCTACCAATAATAATAATAATAATCCCTGTAGACTCCCACTGGAGCATAGGGCCCCAACAACACCTTGCCGACGGAAGTTGTTGTTGCAGTAATTTTTTAGCACATTGGTTTATACGGGGTGGAGTTGTTATCCCCGCGCCCAACCCTCCTTCTTTCTCATCCTGGACTTGGGACCAGGCAATGGTGGTGGCATCCCTACTGGGGAACGAACCCGGTACCTTTGGATTAGAAATCCAACACGCTATCCACTGCACTATAGGGACACAGTCTACCATCAATACTGTATTTAATTCCATTGTATTCTAAAATTAAAAATTTGACTCACTTTGTGTGGTCACTTATGTACACTGAATATTATAACAGTGAAAACATAAAATCAATTAATTTGATGCAATAGGTGTACCACAATTGTAATCCACAGAATAGAAACAAGCCAGTAATTTGATGGTTAAGTTTGGGCCCTTGAGAACACAGTACTACATCATTATTTCCTGTAAATAATGCCTTGTTATCATTGTGATAAATTGTTAAGTGATAGGTAGGGTTCCATTTATTATCAGAGTCCAGTGTCTTGTTTACAGGATTTTTTTTGTTGTTTGTTGTAGAATAGACTATTCTACAGTAACCAACAGGCCACATTGTTCCATCTTTTGCCTTCACTCGGAAGAATGTATATTTTACGCTGATGTTTTGGATTCAGTTTCATGAAACGTACAGAAAATAAATAAGTTCATTTATACTTCTGTCTTGAACCTTCAATAAATGAACTGTTTATCATAGACTTTTCTCACATAATTTGTATTCTTAGTGATAAAATATAATATTATATTTAGTAAAAATGATAAAAAAATTGTACAAAAAAAAAAGAGTCTTTATCAGAAAATTCGTTTTTGAACGAATAAGTTACTTTTAAAACTGAAGAAACTTTATATTATTTAAATCCAAAAGTCTAATAGCAACATCTTCATGAAATCAATAAGGAGCAATAGTTTTATATTAGTATGAAATGTGTACTATCTAATTTTTTATAAAACTAAAAATATATGTTTTTATTATCTTAGTCCAATGATTTCCAAAATACAGATTTTAAATTCTAACTTTTTTTTTCTTGGAAGTTGGAGGTATATCTTGTATTAATGTGTAGCTAAGCTTTTGCTTGTGACTCTATGGTTTGAACAGTGTGTTGTGATACATTCTGATCAATTGAGCACCAAGTTGATGAGAGCCTTCTTGCACCTGTGAGACTCCATCCATTTTAGTTTTCTCACAGTCTTCCTTAAACATAGACTACATTCAAAACTTGCTTGGACTGGACAGTGGCTCAGTGGTGTTTGTCAGTTGACCAGTAAATGTTCCCTTCATTGTTTACTTAGTGTGTTTATCTGGTTACAATGAAAAAATTCCATGGAGATGTAAAATATAAACATTGTCTACATAATCCTATGATGCTTGTAGCAGGCAACACATTCACAATTTTTATAACAACAAATTATTTCTTTTCTTTTTTTTCACCAAAAGTTCTTCAAATGTTGGATCCACATGTACAAAAGATGCTGTAAAGATGTCTTATAAAGACAGTAAACCTCCATATTCAACATGTATGGTTCAAAATGTATTTATGGTTAGAATTTGATGCAGAAAATCTCTTATGCAAGGCCTACAATAAATATTGTTTTGCAATTTGGCTAGTTAAATTTCAAAGAAGTGTAAAAGTTCCATAAGATCTTTATATACGATGAGTAACACGGTTATAGAGAAACAATCTCATACACACACACAAAATCTCTGGACAAAGTTACAACATAACTATCACACACCCACAAAATTTCTAAACAAGGTTACAACAAAATAACCTCACCCACAAAAAATTTAAACAAGGTTACAATGAAAAAATCACACTCAGAAAATCTATAATCATTATTACAATGTAACACTGTCACAAACACAAAATATCTAAACAAGGTTACAGAAAAACAATCACAGACATATAAAAATCTATAAAAGGTTACAAAGAAACATTCTCTCACATAGAATCTCTAAACAAGGCTACCATGAAAAAATCACTGATACAAAAAAATCTAAACAAGGTTATAATAAAACAGTTATAAACATAAAATCTCTAAACAAGGTTATGATGAAACAATTACAGACACAAAAAAATCTAAACAAGATTATAATAAAACAATTACACTCACAGAATCTCTAAACAAGGTACAATGAAACAATGTCACACAAAATCTGTAAACAAAGTTACAGTAAAACAATCACACATACACTAAATCTCTAAACAAGGTACAATGAAACAATGTCACACAAAATCTGTAAACAAAGTTACAGTAAAACAATCACACATACACTAAATCTCTAAACAAGGTACAATGAAACAATGTCACACAAAATCTGTAAACAAAGTTACAGTAAAACAATCACACATACACTAAATCTCTAAACAAGGTTACAGTGAAACAATGCCACACACAACATTTCTAAACACGGATACAATAAAACAATCACACACGCATCTCTTAAACAGAGTTGTAATAAACAATGCAACACATGCACAAACACACACAGACAAAATCTCTAAAGAGAGTATTAAACATTCTCTAATAACTTCACAAATATCTTTTGATCAGTTTTTACCAAAATAAAGAATTTCCCAATTTATCAACAAGAAAAGTAACTGAAAGAAAGCTAACAGAATCTTGTAATTTTGCTACTTTGTGTTTGTTAATGTTTGTTCTTTGAAGCTATTATCACTGTCAGTTTGTCAACATTTGTCCTGTGAAACTCGAAATTTTCACACCTGCAAACATTTTGTTTTTTCATTCACTCATTTAATTCATATACATAAATATATTGAAATTATAAAAAAATATTCTTTTAATAACTTTTTGGCTTAGGCTAGTGTGCATGTGCAAGAGGATTGTAAACAGCAAGTTGTATTATACTTTTTTTTTACAGCTTGAAAATTAACTTATATGTAGAACTGTATTATCCTAGCAAGAAACATGCTCAATGTATCTTTATGGGGTCCATTACAAGTTGTTTAGACTGTAAATGGTGAGGTGGGTCTCCAGGTTTAAAAAGTTTGAGAATTTCTAACTTAGGGAATACAACCTGTTTTTATTCACTGATCACAACAAAATATTATTTTGAGGCCATGTGTTTGATTCATATCATTTGTTGATTTAATGGAAGTGATATTACTAGTGTTCTTTTTACAACTTCAAATAGAAAATACTGTAAGGATATTTTTTCTATGAGAATAGTGATGTTGAAGACTTAATTTGTGTTTGTTTTCTTTTTTTATGCTTTTCATTTAAACCCTTTCAGTAAGAATATATTGCCCAAACCTTACATGTACTTTTCTCACTATAAATTGGTGAAGAAAACATTAATAACTCTTACAACCAATAAATCTTCTGTTTGAAGAGTTAAGTAATGAAATGATAATTATATTGGAGTTTGGCCTCTCAATTTCAGCCACACAAAGGTTTTTAAGGGAGAGTCAAAAAAATCACAATAAACAGATATTCTATTAATTCTTTAAAATTATCAAACAAAATTAAAATTATTAAATATTTTGTTAATATTTTTAACAAATTATGTGTTAAAGTTTATAACTTAAATTTTTATTACATAGGAGAATTGGGATCTTTATCGAAGATCAGTTTTCGTTGTCGTCTTAGAGAACATAGTCAACCTCGTTCTGAGATTATAACATACCAGCTAGCAGAGATCAAAGGACATGTAGAAGGAGATACTAATCATGACTCAGTAGGTGAGTTGAAACACTAGACTTGTTTTATGAGTTTGTGTCTCTTGAAATATCTCAACAGCAAATGGAGAAATTTGTTGGAATTAATTTATGCTACTTTTCATTCTTCTCATAGTCTTGTATATTGTGGATATTTAAGCATCGAAATGACTAGAATGATAAAGTACTGTGTAACAGTGTGACTGGTACTGGTTAAAAATTTAGGCATAGAAACAACTATGCAGTATTCTCAAGCAACCTGGCTTCCCTGTAAATATGAGATAGATAGACCTGCAGATAACAGCAGATTTGCCCAGGAATTAAGAGTTTCTGTATGAGATAATTGGACTTCACATGCAGAGTAAAATTTCTGGAAAACTTTAAGAGACTGAACAAAATTTTTTTTCACAAATGAAAAAGAAAGCATAGTGTACATACCTACACAGACACCTGAACGGTCCCTTTGTACTGGATTGTGTCTATCTCCACAGCCTTCTTTCTTGGAGATTGATTGCTTTAAACTATGATCGCCAATCTCCAAAAACAGATTCTCATCACAGATCTTCTAGCAGTAGAAACTTAACTAAGAAAGTATATGTGGGTTTAGAATGTTAACTAACTTTCTTTGTCCAGTGGATGGCAGCTCCTTGTGACCTTTGTTCTCTAACAGTATTGGTCAGCTGTTATCTTCAGTAAACCTCATAAACTGCCAGTAAAGAATATTCCACTGCCATCCCATTTAACATGAATGCTCCATAAAATAATGAAATATCCTTGCAGGCAGAGAAGACAATCACATACGAAAGAAATGATGTCAAGAGAACAAGGTAATGTTAGCGACTTTCTAGATCATGTGTTGCCATGACAGCACAGAAACTCAGCATTCAAAAAGAAACATTTTTTTAAATAAAGAAATTCTTATTTCACAATAGAAGGAAAACAATCCATGATATGCCTGTCTATAAGAACTATAATGATTAAGCAATTTAACAGTGATGTTGATACTGGTTAGCCTAATTAAATAATTTTGCCAATGGTCAAGCCAGGTTTTAGTTTACTAGGAAACAAAAGACTATGTAAGTTTTATAGAAATACATATTATTCTAATAATGTCTATCAAATGCAAACTCTGACTGTAGATAGTAATTTAAAGTAATAAAAAAACAGTATCATGTGTAGCAGTTAGTGAAAAATCACAGTAAATTGAACAAGCTTTTATAAGTCTTGATATTGGAGAAACAAGTTTTGAAACATTTGAATCCTCTTCAGTCTCATGTTGTCTTCTGAAAATGTGAGATTGCTTTTGACACATGATTATATTAAAACTCCTGACAGTTTGTTCTATTTATCGTGGTTTTTTTTCACTAATTCATTTAAAGATTTCAAAGAATTTTATACTGAATTTTATAAGCCAGTGTTATTTTTCTAAATGAGAAAATTACTTTCACTAAATCTTATTTTATGTTATTTTAGGTTCCAATACAGAGCTATTATTCAAAGCTTTTGTACGAGTTATACATTCCAGTCCTATCTCAGAACTATCTCTGCCTGAAGCTTTGCAAGATGTGTATGTAACACGTCATAAAATCGATGGCACAATTATATACACTGACCATAGGTTGGTAATAAAAATATTTCGTCATACAAATAAGGTTACTTTAATTGATGCAGAATAAGTTATGAATTATTTATATTTAGACAGCTGTTTTATTTGTTTCTGTTTACCTGCTCCTAGGTAATAATACTAGGGTTACCATGAGCCTTCAGTATACATGGGCAGTATAAGTGTTGATAAGTTAGTAAAAGTTGTTATGCTATGTCATGTTAATAAGGACTTACTCTAATAATTCATGATTTTATCTTACAGGTAAATGTTATGTATTGTATAATTTAATGGACTTGCATATTTTTGCTGTTATTTTTAACTTAGGATTTCATCCTGTTATTTGGCCAGAGGGAAGTTATGATGACCATTTGGCATAATGTCTGGAATTTTCTCCAAAGTTTTAAAACAGTTTGAATGGTAGAAAAGACAAGTTAGGCTAAAATGGATCGTTTTTTAATGATTTAGATTTTTTATATCTGTTACTAAGTTACATTGGATCTGAGATAGTGAAGTATTATTTGATTTAGTTTCTTATGGTCAGTTCCCTCAGTTTTAAAATGTTAAGTTTGTGTTCTCAGTGAAATAACAAAAGATATGCCATATGTTGCTAGAGTGCAAGAAATTAGTAAGTAAACAAAATTGTTGTGTTAGAGTCTACTATTAACTTAGGCCTATAAATGAACACGAATTAACTAACTTGTAGTATTTAAGTTTCCTTAAACTGCTTTCCTTTTTTTTTCTTTTCATTGAATAAACCAAAAGAACCTGTCCAAAAATAGAAATTATTACAATGGTATGTTAGTTGTGTACATATACATAAATGCATAACCAAATGTATTGTTACAATAACAATAAAGACTAAATTATTTAATGGAACACATACAAATGCAGTCATAATTTACTCATTTTTACTTACAAATTAGATTAATCAGTAACCAAGACATACGATAATATCAGTGGCTCCCAACTACAACTTGTGAATCAATGCCAATTTAAAAGGAGATTTCAGCTGTTCTGCAAGAAAGTTGAAAAAAAAAGTTTTAAAATAGATTTATTGAAGGTCTTTTACAATGTAATTTAAAAAGCTAATATTTTAAGAAGTGGTCAGTGAAATTTTAGGAACAGGACTAGCTGATCCTCAGTTGGCAAAATATCGGGAGCCACTCCTAATCTTATTCATAAAAATCTGGAATCTTGCTGCAGCTCTAACGAGGGAACTGGAGAGATCATAAATTGTTTGAGGTTAAATTGCTACGTACAGACCACCGGTCATTTTGTACAAGAGTGTGGGAAGAATGAGAAAAAGGAATAATGCCATATTTTTACAA